CATGAATTAAGGGGTTAATTCTTGAATAAGAGTTAATAAGATTTAACTCAAATTACAAAGTGTTGTAAACCCACTACTAGTATTAATAGTGAACCTAAAAGGTCACACTAATTATGAACAAAGGTAAAGATTGTATTTCTAATGGTTAGAATTAATTGATAAATATCTAATTTGATTAGATGTCAATTAAAGGAATATATTAATCAATAAGATTGATTAATTACATTTTGGATATTACTTTAGTAATTAAAGTAATTACTAAATTAATAAAGTTGAATTTTAAAATAGGATTTTAAATTTCAAATCCAAAATAATAATAATATGATTATTATAAGATTGGGAAAATGATATAATAATAAAGTCTTGAGAAAGATTCTCAAGATTTATTATCCAATTATTATTTATATCTTTAAATATGATTTAAGGATTAAAATAAGAAATATGATTATAATAAAATGGTTGTTAATGGTTGTTTGAACTACTTAACATATCTTATTATTTTCAAAGTCAATGGTTAGTAAATACTATTTAAATAAAATTTGATTTTATTTAAATATTACTAAATATTGATTATTTTATGCTAAAATGTTTAGTATAAATAGATGCAAAATGTTTGCAAAGATGTGAAGTGATTTTGTGAGAAAATCAAAGAGAGAAGAAAGTGTTCTTCATATATTTCAAGAAAGTGTTCTTGATAATTCCCAAATTATATCTATATATATATTCCTATACAAGAAAACCGAGACATTTCTACTAGCGAAGAAAGGTCGTCGGAACCGGGCTTCATAGGGTGGATACGATTAGAGGGAAGACACTTGGATTCCTAAAGCGAGTAACCTCAAGCCGTTGAAGTTACAACCGGGAACCGATTCCCACAATCCACATCTTTGTTGAAGGAGTTCAAGACACTCGGTAAATATTTCGTATTAGTATTTACTTTATTATAACAAATCAAAATTTGTATGTGATGCATGTTTTAAAGATGACGATAAGTTAATTCGCAATTAGTATGTACGGGTGTTGTATTTATTTGATAAATACTTACTTTGAAAAATTTTAAATTTCGCTGCTTAAAGCCCGTACGGTACTATCGAACCCAACACCCACACCCCAGAGCCATTTTTGGCTGAGACCCGACTCCACTAGGGTTAAACTAAACACTGATGGATCTTTCGACTGACTTACTGGAGCCGTCAGAGGTGGGAGCCTGATTAGGATTCACAACAGAGCTCTCATTACCGCCTTTCACGCCCCTCTTCAGGTCTCCTCGAGCTACAAAATGGAGGTTTAGGTGCTTTAGATCGGTCTTCAGATTGCAGCCTCTATCTCTTCTCACATTTGGATAGCGTTGGATGTTGCCGTTGTCTCCACCCTCTTGACCTTAAGCCACCAGTGCTTGTGGTAGATTCAGCACCAGCTCATGTGCATTAGATCCACACTTCAGTCGGTTCACTATCGGATCTCGCACATCATCCGCGAGAGGAACTGACCCGCGGACTACCTGGCTAGCTTTGGTGCCTCCACTCATAGAAGCGCACCTTTCACCTGGATGACACCCTTCTCCGCCTTCATACTCATGTGAGGATGAACCAGGTTGACTACCTGATGTAGGGAAGCGTACGAGTGGGAAGGATAAATGAGATACTCTCTCGTAAAACACACAAAACTCACAATATCTTATTTCATTCAAAAATCAACTAATGAAAATAAACCAAAGGGAATCCTTTATATAAGGCTCCTAACCCTAGACCTTAACTTGTCCAACAAGACAAGAACTCTTATTAAATATTAAATTACTAACATACTCTCTATGACACCTATAATAATAATAATAATAATAATAATAATAATAATAATAGATACTAATCTACACCATTCTCCTCCAGTTCGGAAGGCTTCGCCCTCGAAGCCGATGTGCTCCCGTGGCCGGCGTGTGGTGTCGAACTCACGGTAGGAAACCCCCGTCGTTTCCCCCGGCCGAACACGACGGATGAATGTTGTCCAACAATCCCGATGGTAAACATAATCATGGAGAAGGATTGAATTGCTGCAAAGGCACATGTACACGCCTCCATATGCATAACCCACACAGTGGAATTAACACCAAATATACCACATCGTTCACCACACTCAAATCCATAACTACGGCCAAGCATCTCGTTGTTGAGAGACTTCGGGATAGACAATCGGAAAATGGTCCACCAGTTATTCAGCCTCGGAGTCGGCTCCCAAAAACCATCATTGGCCAAGATACTCCAAACATCGGGTTTCAATGACAGCATCCCCGTCAAAGGCTCAACTTCTGCAACATCCCACGCGGGACCCATATTGCCGCAAAAATATGTCTCCGTCACCGGAGGCTCCTCATCGAAAATAGGCGGACCGTCGTACAATAGCCCGTCATCTTCCTCAAAAATCGCACTCTGTTGCGGCACATCTTGGTCATCGTGTGCAACAACGAGCTTAGTCTCGACGAGCGGAGGCGGCCACTCTCCGAAGGGATCCACCTCCGAGATGGTCTCCTCGCCGTCTGCATCGCCGGGCGGCGGTTGTGGAGATCGCCGACGGGGCGCCCCGCCTGGAACACGACCTCCACTTCCTCCGTGAACTCCCCCGCGCACACCCCGGTCGCCGGCGGCACAGTTCATCTGCAAATCCCAGATCACGTTGTTAAGCGTCAAATGCAAATCCTCGATCCTCGTCGAAAGATATGCAAACCAATCCGTGAAACGCACGTCCAACTGTGCAAATCGGTAGTCGATCTGTTGAATTCGATCGTTGAAGGTTGCATCATATCGTTGTTTTGCGGCATCTTGTTGTCTCGACGACATCGCGAATCGTACTGACTGCTGATACCAACTGATGTAGGGAAGCGTACGAGTGGGAAGGATAAACGAGATACTCTCTCGTAAAACACACAAAACTCACAATACCTTATTTCATTCAAAAATCAACAAATGAAAATAAACTAAAGGGAGTCCTTTATATAAGGTTCCTAACCCTAGACCTTAACTTGTCCAACAAGACAAGAACTCTTATTAAATATTAAACAATAATATTACATTACTAACTTACTCTCTAAGACACCTATTAAATAATAATAATAATAATAATAATAATAATAATAATAATAATAATAAATTATTATAATAATTATAATAATAGATACTAATCTACACCACTACCCCTTTTAGATTCTAATAGTCGTCCTGTATTTTTGTACTTCGACTCACTTTGGGGAGCAGACTGTTTGTCTGGACACATGTCAGCCCAGGTTCAAACTTTTTCTTTTAACTGTTTTTTTCTTTTTCTCGTTTTTGCTTCGGTTTATGGTTGGACTTGTGTAGACCTGTGATTTTTTTGCTTATTTAGGGTGTTGACTATATACATGTTGTGGATCCGTGCTTGTTTAAAATAAAAAATAAGTGCCATACCTTAATATTTTTTAAGAAAAGCTATAGGTACATAATATTGTACATAGGGTTGTACATAACACTCACATTTAGATGGACCTACCAAAATTAAAAAAATTAAGTGGACCCCACCCCATGTGAGTGTTATGTACACTTTTATATATATTTATTATGTACTTGTAGCATTTTTTATATTTTTTAATAAAAATATAAAATAACAAATCTATCATTATATAAAAAGAATAACCTTTTTATAAATTTAGAAAGTTTTTCCCGCTATAATCATTTAATATATCCTAATTATAGTAATAGTTGGACAATTGTAAATAAGCACAAAAAACGGCTCCTTAATTGCAGTGTTTCCTTAATTTTAGCTTGCACAATTAAATCGGCGTGCACGACAAATCCAATTGCCTTTTTTCTTTAAACTATCCCACAAAAATATCGGAATTCATGTTTTACATCTAAATCTGATTTTTTTTTAAACACAAAATCCGCTAAAAGTTTAGATATTTACGTGTACAAATTAGTTACATATTGGATACTTATTAGGAATGAATTATGAAATTAAATAAAAGTTTATTAAATAAAACTTTTTTGGACGGCATCAATTTATATAAATTTATATAGATATTAAAAAAAAACGACATTAATTAAAAACATTGTTTTTTAAAATTGATTCACAACATTCATCGAAAAAAAAAACTGTACAATATATTCTTGGTGTGTACAAATTAAGTTGCTAAATAATTGAAAAGAATCCCACTTTGCTAAGAATTCGAATATCATGCAACTCTTCACAATATTTAGTCTGCATTTATCCGATGTAATACATCAATTAATTGGAAAATAAGTTGCTAAATAATTGTAAAAAAAAATACGACATTAATAAAAAAAACATTGTTTTTTAAAATTGATTCACAACATTCATCGAAAAAAATACTGTACAATATTTTCTTGGTGTGTACAAAGTAAGTTGCTAAATAATTGGAAAGAATCCCACCTTGCTAAGAATTCGAATATCATGCAACTCTTCACAATATTTAGTCCGCATTTATCCGATGTAATACATCAATTAATTGGAAAGTGAGTTGCTAAATACATGTACAAAATCCCATCTTGCATTGAATTCGAATATTACAATTCAGAATAATTGGAAAGAGTCCCATATTGCATGGAATTCTCATATAAACTAAAACTTGAACAATATTTTATCCGTCTCCATCCCATTTTTTTTTTTTACATATAATGTGATTTCCGTATATCAAGATTTTTTCCTAAAAATATTAACATATATTGATTATACTCTACCAAATCTCAAAATATTGAGCCCATTCTAATATTTATAGTTTGTGTAAATTTAATAATATATGATTGTTTCTTTGTCCAATACTATCTTATTGTATAATTTTCCTACGTATTATAAAACTTTTATTTTATTATTGCATCTAATAATATAATATTCCCCAAATAAATATATCTCTTGCCTCACGGGTCATGTACTACATATATCCCGTATATTTTTTTTATTCAGGTATATAATTATAAGCGTGATAAATAGTCTTAAAAGTGGCTGTAGTTAATAATATCAAAGTAATACGAGAGTTGAGAGAAAATGCAAACTTTATTCAAACCGAGATTCCATAGAAATTTGTAGTTGTATCACAACAGCAAGAACAAGAAAGCCCTAACACCAGCTTGGCAAGGAGTTAACTTTATTCTGCGCTACGAATTGGCTTTTAGTAATCAAGAACTATAATTTTCCCTTCATCAGCATATCCAATATTTGATAAGATGGATGCTCAGAGAGCTTTGCTTGACGAATTGATGGGCTCAGGTTAGCAGCCCTCCATTGCGTTAAACCCTAATGTTGTTTAATCGAATCATCCTCTTTCATTCGTTTGAGATTCAGGTTTTGTTCGTTCTTTCTTTTTTCTTTCCTTTTTGATTTTGTCATTTGGTTGTCGTTGGATTTACTGCTTAAGCTCCTAGAGCTGGCTTTAGTTGTTTGAGCACGAAATTTGTATTGACATAGTCGATGTGAACTAGCACGTCAGCCAAATTACCGGTGGTGGACCTCCGAATATATAGTTTTTGGAAAACCAGCTCCAGATTGCTACATAATTCAGCATATCAATTTGCATATTAGCTTCTATCCTTGTTTCTTTTTGATTCAGGTAGTTAATTTTCTTAAATTTCTTCTTGTTGTAAACTATACCCATGTTAATTTTTCTAGAATCATGACTTGTGTTAAAGCTGCTTTAGTTTTTTTCATTATACACTTAGCACTTTATATGCTAATTAGACTGATTTCTGTGGTTTTTTTCAGCTCGTAATTTGACTGAAGAAGAGAGAAAAGGGCACAGGGAAGTTAAATGGGATGATAAGGAGGTTTGTGGATGCTATATGATCCGTTTCTGCCCTCACGATTTGTTTGTCAACACACGAAGTGATCTAGGTAATGCCTTGATACTTTCTTTATCAAGTAATTAATTTATATACATCACTATAGTGTAATAGGATCAGCTTATTTCATAATCACACTAGAGTGTTTTAAGTGGCTTCCTTAGAAATTTATGTACAGGTTTTATTTCCTTATTACAGTAGTTTGCTAATATTCTTCCGTTGTTTGAATCAGGTGTGTGCCCAAAAATTCATGATGCAAAGTTGAAGGAAAGGTAGTGACAGCTTGTAAAGCTGCATATTTTATTTTATAATCTTTTGTTTTTAGTTCAATAGCTTTTGAGGTGCCTTTGTTTCATATTTTAGTCCAATTGACTCTGGTTATTGAAGATATTTTTTCACTTTTCTGCCTTTCTTTTAATTATATCATCTTGGAAGCACAGAAGTTTATAATAAACATGGACAAGCTTTTAACATGTGAACCGATTCATGGATACATATTGGATAAGTTGTTTTTAAAAGGCGCGGTTAGACTTTAACATGTTCAACTGTCCGATTTTGGTCTTTCAAGTGATAAAATTGGCAAGAGATTTCAATAGATTTGGAAATGCTAGGAATTGGGTTGTAGAAGGTCTGGATGCGCCCAACATTCACAGTTCGTCTTTTTGGCAACCTTTAACTTGTTTTGGCTCTTCCATAGTTCCTTGTTGAGTTAGATCATACATTTGTTGTTAATTTAAACAATATTTTAATTCAGATGAAGCTTACTTTTGCTACTCTTTGTTTTAGTTACTATCTTGATAATATCCTGAAAATCATTTGTTGGTTTTTTCGTTTTCTTTATCTGCTCATCATTAATAACAATGATGATAATGGTAGGCTTAGAGCGTGGTTGGATACAAATATATCCTCTGAAAACGGATTTTTTTGGCTAACCATGGGTTATTTTGAAAAAGTTTGTATGGTTAGTTGTTAGTGTGATTTTGAGTTTCTATTAAAATTATATTTAAAATAAAACAATTAAAGTTGATTTGATGTAAAAGTAGGATAGGGATGATGTGAAGTGATGGTTAGTTAAATTTATGTAGTGAATTAAAGTTGATGTGATGTGTAAGAATGATTGATAAATATTATTTAATTATATTGGATGGTGGGGTTGGGTTAAAGTTGAGTTAAATTTTGAGTATGGATTGAGTATGAATTGAGACATTATAAACAAACACACCATAAATAATCCAGTCTAATAATGTGTAATACCTCTGTGATGGTGTAGGTTAGTACCCTCTCCAAATCACTTATTATCAATATAACAGATATTTCTAATCCTGATACGTTGGAAAAATTGATACTGTATCCCTATTCACCATTATGCACTATCTGTATGTTGTACCTGTACGGTTATATCAGAATTTGGATGACGTGGTTGTTTCTATTTTTAGTTCTGAGAAGGCACCCAGACAGTACATCTTGAATGCTGCTCCGAGGTTTTCTTTTTGTTGTTGTGAAGATGGATGTTAATTGATGTTTCGGGATAATACTGGACCATATTCAGGGTACAATTTTTAAAAAAATTTCACATCATTGAAGAATTGTAGTTGTGGCCCATGATGAATCGTCTGTAAATAATTTGACTAGTTTCATCGATACATAACGTCTATTTTAGAATCTATTGACATTGTGTTGTTTATCTTTTTAGTTTTGAGAAGTCCCCTAGGCACGATTCATATGTCCCCAAGTTTGAAGCTGAACTAGCTCACTTCTGCGAGAGACTGGTATGTTTTTCGACTACACCCACTTGAAGCTCCGTACTTCAATTATTGCTATATATGATCATAATGTCCAATAATGTTCTCCATTTTTCTTCAGGTCTCAGATTTAGATAGAAAAGTTAGGCGTGGCCGTGAACGCCTTGAACAAGATGTTGAAGTCCCCCCACCTCCTCCAATTTCAGCTGAAAAAGCTGAGCAGTTGTCTGTGTTGGAAGAAAAGATAAAGAGCTTGCTTGAACAAGTCGAGTCCCTTGGTGAAGCGGGGAAGGTTGATGAAGCCGAGGCACTTATGAGAAAGGTAACCTCTTAAATCCTCTTGTTTTTTGCTGATGTCATGTTTTTGAATTTAGTAAATTATACCAGATTATGGTCAACCGGGCCTTTCCAGGTTGAGATGCTTAATATTGAGAAGACAGCCTTGACTCAGCAACCACAGCAAGATAAGCTGATGATGATGACGCATGAGAAAAAAATGGCACTGTGTGAAGTGTGTGGTTCCTTTCTAGTAGCGAATGATGCTGCTGAAAGAACTCAGTCGCATGTTGCTGGCAAGCAACATATTGGTTATGGCATGGTGCGGGAGTTTCTGGCTGAGTATAAGGTGATATTATGATTATCGAAGTGTTAAGTTACTAAGACAGAGTGAACATTGCACAGAGAAGCTTTCATGTGTATTTGAATCAATCCAAGAGTTTGAAAAACCATCTGTTTTTTTACATTGCCATATGAACATCTCTTGTTTGTTTTGATATTCACATGAAANAAAAAAAAAAAAAAAAAAAAATTATCTTTCCAAGACACAAATAACCTCTTAATGATTGATTTTACATTTTCACTTTCCAGTAGCCCCTTTTTGGGCTCCTTGAGGGTCTGGTTTTGCAAGTTAAATACCAATCTCGAAGGGGTTATTTATAATTAATTTTACAAGATAAGGTACATGGTGCTTTCGTAATAAGGGTAAACCTCATGGATAATTATCCCCCTTACCTTTAAAGATTTCAATCTTTATGTGGGTGGGGTGGTGGTACTAATTTCGCAAATATAAACCTTTCTGGTTTACATTGAAAGATTTATCTGGGTTCTTTTGTAACTAGGCTATACTAATAATTGTGATGTGTAACAATTATTCTTCACTTGCAAGTTTCTTTCTATTGCCAGGAAGCCAAAGAGAAGGCAAGAGAAGAAGAAAGACTGTTGAGAGAGAAAGAAGCAGAAGAGCGAAGAAAGCAGAGAGAGAAAGAATACGAGAGCAGGAGGAGTGGCTCGGCTGACAGGGACAGGTATCGTGATCGGGATTATGACAGATATCGGGAAAGGGAAAATGGAAGGGGAAAGTTGGATAGGAAAAACAACAGGTCAAGTAACGGGAGAGAAAGCAGTAGGGATAGGTACCGTGATAGAAGCAGGTCACGCTCTCCCATCAGACATGGTCGGAGGAGGAGCCCTGGTCGAGCNCCAAAGAGGTAGATGCCCTTTATGTTTAATGAAAAACTAATGTTCAATGTATCATTTGATTTGGAGTCTGAAGTTGTCTTTGACAATGAGTAAAACTGTTTCTTCTGTCACAGCTCTATTTGAGACTTTACAATCTCTCCTATCACCGGTATAATTAGAGAAAAGGTTGAGGTAGGTAATTCGTAGCCAGAAACTTTATATCATACGGTTTTTAGTGTGGTTCCTCTGTGCTTTGCAAGTTTTTTTTTTTATTTTTTTATATCTTTCTTTGGTCCGGTTGTTCAATTATTCTGGTGGGAATCGATTTCGTTCACTTTTGGCTCTTAGGTTGCAATGTGATTTCTTGCTTGTGATTTTTTTGCTTGTTTGGCAAGTGAGCAAGCACTAATAAGATCTCGTGCTGTAAATCATATGGAGTTCTTGAGCTGCTGGGGCTAACTTTTTCTCACCCAATTTATTTTCCTTTTCCCTTCGGGTTATATGTTTTGCAGCTATCACTAATATACGTTAGAACTATAGTTAGTTCTCTTATGGTTTGGTTGTTTGTAATTTGATTGGGGCATTCTGGGAACTGTTTCAGGAGAATCAGATGTCTTCCTTCAGTGTGTGAAGTAGAGATATTATTATTATTGCATTTGCATGCTGCTTTATAGTATAATGATTATCGTATGGATAATTGCAAATAACAACAATGAGGTTTGTAGTTGACCTGAAACAAATTGGTTGCTTTGTATTATTTTCAGCATTTGATATCGCAGCCCTCTAGGTTCGTGTCTTTAATATTCCATATTTTGTGACTTGAAGCTATGTTCAGGTCACCAGGTGGGAAACTGGGAAGCATCCATTTGATTTTGAGAATATTAGGAAACAAATTGCCTTACTGGGGGTGAAGGATTGCACTGAATTTTTATGGTAAACTCCAATAATCTCTCTTGCAGTTGAGAAGTATGCTTTTGTAAGAATAATAAACTTCATCATGGTGGCACAGTAAACAGTATTTAATATATTCTTATTTGGGCAAGTTCACACAATTAGCCGGTGCTGTGTGTATATGCTGGAATTATGATTGTGAATCCCTTTATACCGAATGTTATGTGAAAAACTCTTTGAAGTTAAGGTCATGTGTATGCTTGTTATGTGTGAAAAGCTCTTGAAGTCAAGGTCATGTGTGTGCCTTTTCATAGCCGTGTATCTGTAGCTGAAGTCCAAGGGTAAAGGGAAGAAGGTTTTTTTTTTGGCCTTTTTTTCATCTGCAGTTGAATAATGTGACGAAACTGACAATGATCACACAAAAGCCGATTGGCTGTAGAGGTGAATTTGCTGTTTTCTATATTCAGAGTATATTATGGAATGATTGATGATTCTAGTCATATTTTAACCAAGTGATACCCTGAGGCAGTGGGATCTTAATCTAGCTCAAGCACTGTGCGAATCCTTATGGCATGATTGGTATAATGGAATAGAATTTGGTAGGAATAAAATGAGTTGATGAAGAATGGAATGATTATGGGAAATGAATGAAACAAGTTTTTTCATTGATGTGTTTGGTATACATAAAGAATAAGACCGGAATGAATGACATTATCATCCTATATTATTATTTATCACTATTTTATAAAAAGAAATTAATATATATATTAATGTTATTTTTTTATTTATGATAATACTAATATTATTTTATATTTTAAAAATATACTATATTTTAAAAAACATACTTTTGTATTGTTATACCCATCTTATATAATAAATAAGTGAATTACGTATTTATATACATATTAACTATTAAGACATTACATAAACTCCTATAAGCATATGTGGTCAAATATAATTTTTTATAATATAATTCAATTTATGGATAAATATATAATATATATGATTATATAAAATAAAATAAGGCTTTTTTAAACTATTTATAAATGCTTCTTTTTGCGAGCTTTATTTTTATATAAGTATTGAATATATCTAATTAAAATATGACTAATAAATAAAAATAATCTTTTATTTGAAATTTATTTTCTAAAATAATTTTATTTAATATAATTTAATCATGATACTATACTGTATATTATATATTTATTTTCTATTATTATTTGTTAATTTATTTTTTGAAAAATCGATTCCCAAACATGTGGGAATGAGAAAACCATTCTTTAGCTATGGAATAACTAATCCCATATAGATGACTTTTGCGATTCCCATTAGGATGACCATTCTCTTCTAAAAAACATACCAATCATGGGAATAAGAATGGAAAAGGGAATGATCATTCCATTCTCACTTCATTCCCGCATACCAATCATGCCCTTATATGTTACGCCTTTTTTTTTTCAACGATAATTTCCAGTAAAACTCAAGCAGATAAAGGTCTTACAGGCATAGTCAAACAACTACAATGCATCTAAACCAACCAACAAGGCTAGGTAGTGCATACGAGTGAACACAAAGTTCCACCCTCGAGTGGAACAAACCACAACTAAAACTACCACAACAATTACATCACACTCAAGTTTCTAGTCTCAAACTCACATAATGGAATAACATCTAAAAGAGATAAAACATGAACAATATCAGACTGATCATTGTCTTCCCATGCAGCTGTACCTATGGCTTCCACCTTAGCCGGTGTGCCTGTGAGATCAACAAACAAACCACATCCTCCCATGCTTCTTCCACACAAGCTATGAGCATCCACTTAGCTTTCCACCAATCTTCTTCCTCCTCAGTTAATTGCCCTGGCATGGTAGTTGACCAAGCTTTCAATATTTTACCATCTTTCTCTGCTTTTCCTTGTACCATTACACCCTCTGCATTTGGACCTAGAGCACTGACAGAAACCCGAATCTGCCCTACCCTGAAAGAAAATTATCCTCCTGCATTGGAATGATTCACCTGTTGAGCCATCTCTGCACTCTGCATATTCACATTTAGAAATTCAGCCCAACCCCTTCTAGCCATATCCACCACCTCCAACTCAGAAAACCATTTATTCTCAAAGAGCCAGCTGTTCCTCATCCTTCAAAGCCACCAGAGAAGGTATGTTGATAAGCTGATTCTATCTCTGATGGCTTTAAATCCCCTAGCAGACATCACCTCTGCTCACCAATCCTGAAAACTGCAATTACCTTCCTCCATTCTCTTCCATGTCACTCCCAACATGTTCCAACAGAGTTTAGCCTTCTTACATCTGAAAAACAAATGCTCAATATCCTCCTTACTGTCACTACAACTCCTGCAAGTCTCATCAACCTCCAAACCCTTCCTTCTCAATTGACAGTTTGTACTGAGGAAGCCATGCCAACATTTCCACATGAAGTTTCTGATTTTATGTTGAATGGGTAGTCTTCAGTGCCTTGTCCACATCCTTTTGTCAAATACCTGCTGCCCATTTGTCTCTGCTTTGTCTTGACTAAGATGCTTCTCCTTAGCCAGCAGGCCATAGCAGGACTTTACTGTGAAGATCCCTGACTTGTGTGCTTGCCACCATATTCTATCCCTTTGATTATCAGCATAAATTGGAGTCTTTTGAATTAGAGCTGCCACATAAGGGTTAAAGGATTGATTAATAAGTTCCATATCCCAGCCCTTCCCACTCTGACCCAACAAATCACTCACCCACACTAATCTACCCTTATCTCTCTCAAAAGAACACTTCAGATTCTCCCCTCTCAACCCTATAACCCAAGGTGAGTCCCACACTCTGACAGACCTCTCATTCCCTATTTTAAAAATGAGGCCTTTTTCTCAAATCACTCCTAGCTGTCAGCCAACTACCCCACGACCATGAATCAGAACATTTTTCAGAAATACTGAGGAGGAGATTAGGATTTTTTAAAATCCTCCAAAGTTGTTTAGCTAAAAAGGCTTGATTAAGGACCCTCATATCCCTAAAACCCATCCCCCCTGCACTCTTAGGTTTGGTCATCCTATCCCACTCTGCCCAATGAACTCTCTTCCCCCCATTCTCCCTTCTACCCCACCAAAAGGAAGCAATTTCCTTAGTGATCTCAACCCAAACAGAATCAAGTATTTTAAAACAGGACATAGCATAGGTGGGAAGAGCTCCCAAAATAGTTTTAATTAAAACCTCCTTGCCAGCCTCACTCAACAAATTATTTTTCCAAGAATTCACTCTGTTTTTCACTCTCTCAACTACAAACT